TGTCGGCTTTCTTTACAACTTACCTTTTCGTGGAGCGGGTCCGGTGTCACCCAGTGTTCTGTCTCTCCAATCTAAGCATTTAAAGTGTGTTCTCTGTAACTTACAGTTGTGATGAGATAGTGATAACTCCAATCTTAGTTGAATACCACAGTCAGTGACTCAATACAGAAGACATTTTGTAGATCTTGTGAAATTTATTCCATAAACTGAGAGAGTCTTACAACAATGAACATCTGATAGGTCAAAAGATCATAATGTGACCTGCTTCATGACATGAGGCTAGAAGCTGCAATGCCTTACTGGGAAAAGGGTGGGCTATCTATACAGCGTTAACTAAAGCAAAGGAAAGGGAGGAGCAGAGACAAAATATAGAGAACACTTAAAAGCATATGACAGTCATGTGAAACATGACACCCCGTATAGGTTGCATGCCGACGATCTCCGCAGAATGGATTGGATATGCGGATTAAGAAGCATAATGGATCGGACTACGATCCATTATGCTCAATCCGCAGATCCGAACCATCCCGAGGGGATCGACGGACGGCATGCAACCTATACGACAATAAGGCAATCCATTATGCTGAATCCGCAGATCCAATCCATTCTGCGGGGATCATCGGAGGGGGTGCCACCAAGTGTTATCGCACTGGGTGACACCAACCCTAGGGACGCCCCAGCCTTATATTCCGATAGGGCTCCGAAGAGCTGTAAGATACGATGCAAAAACAGAAGGTAGTGTGGGGCTCTGTCAGCATCAACAAGATATCATCAACAGGGACAGTTTGTAGTCACTGTTATGGGTGCGTATCCCGTGAATATACATGTTGGATCTCATGGCTATGGACAGGGGTGTTAAACAGACGATAAACAACAAAAGGGAAAGCGGACATCCCTAGCGTGTACCATTTGACATCTGGAAGGAAGGTGATAAAAATGACTCCAAATTTGACCTGGGAGGTGGGCGTGGAGTAAAGAACTTTAAAAGCTGCAATAAACGGACCTCTAAACCCAAATCTCTCCAGGACCAGAAACATATAAGGCCAGCTAAGTCAGTCAAACGCATTTTGGGCATCCAAGCTCAACAAGAGAGTAGGAGTCGAGAACTTATTAACAAGATCTATCAAATCAATAGCCCTCCTAGTGTTATCCGTGGCATGCCTAGCCAACACGAAACCCACCTGGTCTCTGTGTATAAGCTTGGAAACACACTTGGCCAATCTGTTGGCTAGTATTTTTGTAAAGATCTTGTAATCAGCGTTTAATAAGCCTATAGGACGATAATTATCCAGAAGGGAGTCGTCCTTATCCGTTTTTGGGATCACCAAGATGTATGCGCGAGTAAAATCATCGTGTGGATGTGACCCCTTCAGGAGATCCTGAAATAATGACAAAAGGTGGGGAGCCAGGATTATTATTATACAATATTTACAGATCTTGTAATAGGAGTAAGGAAGACCGTCTGGTCCCGGCGATTTGTGCGTAGGGAGATGTTTGACAACATCCAATAATTCTTCAGTAGAGATGTCCGCGTTTAAAGCCATTACATCATCAGGTGAAAAACTTGGTAGTTGTAAGGAGTAAAAAAAAGCGTCAAAGGCAGCCATCTGAGGGGGGCGGATGGGTATCAGGGGCTAGGAAATTATAGAGCTTCTTATAATTTTCCACAAATACAGTAGCCATTACATGTGGGTCATATGTGGGTTTGCCATCTGACTGGAGTAAGTGACCTGGCAGTTAGGGGGACGCTTGAGATTTGAGCCTATTTACAAGCATGCAATGCGGTTTGTTAGAGAATTCATTGCATTTTTGCCTAGCCCAAGCAAGGGACTGGGCAGTTTTATGTAGGTCAAGGGCTCTGATTTGATTGCGTATACGGGACATTCTCTGAAGCTGAGGTATAGACGGGTTGTCTATTAGTCGGCGTTCGGCTAAGGACAGTTGGCACAAAAGAGATTGTCTGGTACAGACAGAGGCCTTCTTTAAATGAGAGCCCATGGAGATACAAAGGCCTCTGAAGACTGCTTTGTGAGCTTCCCAGAGGGTGGAAGATGAGGCTATCAAGCCAACACTGTATTGAAAATAAGCGTCCAGTCCCTGAGAGAGTTCCTCTCAAAGGTGGTCCGAACGCAAGAAACTCTCATTGAGGCGCCAGTGACAGACCCTAGGGGAGGAGTTAGGGAGAAGATTAGGCTACAGTGAGGCGTGATCTGACCAAGTCATAAGGTTGATCTCAGAAGAGACCAGAAAGGGGAGCAGTGGGGCGGTGACAAAAAAATGATCTAGGCGAGAGAATACACGATGCGGAGTAGAATAAAATGTAAATTGCCTATGGAGTGGATTTTTGACCCGCGTCAAAGAAGCGGTGCTCACGGATCAGTTTATGGAAGGCCTTCAAGGAGGAGCATAGCCTTTTCGCTGGAGTATGTGTGAAGAGGACTTTCCTATCCTTGTGAGGAGGCAGACAAGTTAAAATCCCCTCCAACAATCATGCGTGGAGTAGATGGGGAATACAATTTATCTAAAGTTTGAGAGAGAAAGAGAGCAGCTGGCCAGAGTTAGGTGAATACAAATTCAGAAGCACAAGTGGGGAACTCTTGTACATAAATTCCAATAAAACATAGTGACCAAGTGGGTCAACCCTGGAGGAGGAGACCCATAGGGAGCAGTTTTTTTTTTCGAATCAGAATAGCCACTCTGGCTTTCCCGGAGGGGTCAAAAGCTGAATAGGATTGTGGAAAATTCTTAGAGGCAAAACAAAAAGAGCAATTCTGTTTAAAATTAGTTTCCTGAATAAATATGATGTCTGCTCCCGAGGATCTGAACTCCTTCAGATCCATCCATCGTTTTTGAATTGAGTTAAGACCTTTGACATTATATGACAACAGCTTTAAAGCCAGTGGGTGTATCGGCTGTGTAACCTGAGTATGCAGAAATATTGTCATCGATGAGGCAAAACAGAAAACAACAGAGATAGAAAAACAGGCGATTATCAAGGCAACTGGCCTATTACTTACAAATGTATCACTCACAACAAAAGCTGTAAGAATGATGGCTAGAAACAAAGATATTATAAAACATATACATCCAGGATAATGGGTGTGACGGGAGTGACTTTTGGGGGTGGGGGAACCCCTGTATCATCTTCCCAAATCCCTCTTATGTCTAAGGCACCCTGTGCCTGTTAGGGGGTACAGGGTGAAATGTTCTAATATGGGTGTGGGGGTTGTCCATTGTTCACTGCCATGAGGTTGGTCCATTGTTCACTGCCATGTGGTTGCTCCATTGTTCACTGTCATGTGCTGCATCCCATTGTTCTGTGTCTTGGTTTGGTGGGGGGTGTTTCTTGCAGCCCTTCCCCCTGCTGGGAGGGCCTGATGATGTGTTTCCTGTTCCTGCTTCTATTTCCCCGCCCTGTATATATATCTTGTGTTTGTGTAAAAATAAAGCAGTTGAATTCTTCTCTTAAGAAGAGTCTGGTGCTGTCTATTTCCTGCATGATCGGCGGTGGTGTCCGTGGATTTGTGCTCGTACCAAGAAGCAGGAGTACAACGGAAATACCCAAGTGCGGTCTGGGTCCGGTTCCATTACAATGGGAATATCCCGAGTCCTCAGGGCCAGGGGTCTGACGCTTCAGGGCGCAACATGGCAGCTGACCCATTTTGACAGATGCCTACTTCAGTAAAACATAGCAATTGTAGTCAAGACACATCAATGTGGAAAAACACTAAGGCACACATGGGGAAAAAAAAGAGCCCATTTAACATGGTGGGAAACCTGACATGTGGATGAGTCAGGTGGCAGGGCCCACCAATCCAGGAAGTCGTGGATGTTGAGGGGTACGAGGAAATTGCTTCCTTCCAGGCTTAGCGGGTGTCTAAATCTTACATGGAGTGGCAGAAGGCCTGGATGGGGTAGGAGGAAGTGGAGGGGTTTCGTCCGGTAGGAGAGGAAGTCCCAGTTGTCCGCTTCATGTGGGTCACGGAGTATGACTTGGGTGTTATCTTTGGAGACAACCAGCTTGAAGGGAAACCCACACTGGTATGGGATATGATGCTGTAGAAGATGAGAGGTGATCGGATTCAGGATCCATATTTTTGCCAAAGTGATGGGGGCTAAATCAATGAAAATTTGGAGCCTGTCTCCCTTAAATTCCAAAGAAGGTTTGTTGCAAATAGAAGTGAGCAAGACTTCTTTGCTGTCAAAGTAGTGAAAGTGGATGATGATAACATCTCTAGGCCTGGTGCCCTCAGAGGGTTTTGAGACTAACGACCTATGGGCCCGATCCATTCACCAATCAACATCCGTGAGCCAGAGTAGTAAATAGAGACAGCAAGTGATGCTGAAGTTGAGAGTCAGAGACCGTTTCGGATATGCCATAGATACGAATATTCTGACTACACTCCCTGTGTTGATACATGTGTTTGACTGTACACCCTCCTTTAGAACTATCAACAACTACACTATTCCCAAAAGTATTGGGATGCCTGCCTTTACATGCACATGAACTTTAATGGCATCCGAGTCTTAGTCCATAGGGTTCAATATTGAGTTGGCCCTCGCTTTGCAGCTACAACATCTTCAATTCTGGGAATGTTGTCCACAAGGTTTAGGAGTGTGTCTATGGGAATGTTTGACCATTCTTCCAGAAAGCGCAGTTGTGAGGTCAAGCACTGATGTTGGATGAGAAGGCTTGGCTCACAGTTTCCTCTTTAATTCATCACAAAGGTATACTATCGGGTTGAGGTCAGGACTTGTGCAGGCCAGTAAAGTTCCTCCACCCCAAACTCATCCATGTCTTTTATGGACCTTGGTTTGTGCATTGGTACACAGTCATGTTGTAACAGAAAGGGGCCTTCCCCAAACTGTTCTCACAAAGTTGGGAGTATGACATTTTCCAAAATGTCTTGCTATGCTGATGCCTTAAGAGTTCCCTTCACTGGAACTAAGGGGCCAAGCCCAACTGAAAAACAGCCCCACACCATAATCCTCCCTCCACCAAACTTTACACTTGGCACAATGCAGTCAGGCAAGTAGCTTTCTCCTGGTAACTGCCAAACCCAGACACGTCAGATTGCCATACCAAAAAGCGTGATTCGTCACTCCAGAGAACATGTCTCCACTGCTCTAGAGTTCAGTGGTGGTGTGCTTTACACCACTGCATCCGACGCTTTGCATTGCACTTGGTGATGTAAGGCTTGGATGCAGCTGCTAAGCCATGAAAACCCATTCCATGAAGCTCTCCATGCACTGTTGTTGTGCTAATCTGAAAACCACACAAAGTGTTGAGGTCTTTAGCTAATGACTCTGCAGACAGTTGGTGACTTCTGCGCACTGTGCACTTCAGCATGCGCTGACCCCGCTCTGTCATTTTACGTGGCCTACCACTTCATGGCTGAGTTGCTGTTGTTCCCAGTTGCTTCCACTTTGTTATAATATTGCTAACAGCTGACCATGGAATATTTACTAGCAAGGAAATTGCACGGATGGACTTATTGCACAGATGGCAACCTATCACAGTACCACGCTTGAATTCACTGAGAGCTCCTGAGAGCGACCCATTCTTTCAAAAATGTTTGTAGAAGAAATGTGAATGCTTAGGTGCTTGATTTTATACAGTTGCAAGAAAAGTATGTGAACTCCTTGGCATTACAAGGAGTTTTGCATGAATTGGGCATAAAATGTGCTCTGAACGTCATCTAAGTCACAACAATAGAAGAACACAGTCTGCTGAACATAATACTACACAAACATTAGATGTTGCCATGGTTTAATTGCACATAACATGTAAACATTCACAGTGCAGGGAGGAAAAAGTATGTGAACCTTTGGACTTAATAACTGGTTGACCCTCCTTTGGCAGCAATAACCTCAACCAAACATTTCCTGTAGTTGCAGATCAGACCTGCACAACGATCTGGAGTAATTTTGGACCACTCCTCTTCACAAAACTGTTTCAGTGTAGCAATATTCTTGGGATGTCTGATGTGAATCGCTCTCTTAAGGTCATGCCACAGCATTTCAATTGGGTTGAGGTCAGGACTCTGACTGGGCCACTCCAGAAGGCGTATTCTGTGCTGTTGCAGCCATTGTTTTGTTGAATTACTTGTATGCTTTGGGTCATTGTCCTGTTGCATCACCCATCCTCTGCGGAGCTTCAGTTGGCGGACAGATGGTCGTACGTTTTCCTGCAAAATGTCTTGATAAACTCTGGAATTCATTTTCCCATCAATGACAACAATCCGTACAGGCCCTGAGGCAGCAAAGCAGCCCCAAACCATGATGCTCCCTCCGCCCACCATGCTTTGCAGTGGGGATGAGGTTTTGATATTGGTGTGCTGTGCCTTTTTTTCTCCACACATAGTGTTGTGTGTTCTTCCCAAACAACTCAATCTTGGTTTCATCTGTCCACAGTATATTTTGCCAGTAGTGCTGTGGAACATCCAGGTGCTCTTTTGCAAACTTCAAACGTGCTGCAATATTCTTTTTGGACAGCAATGCCTTCCTCCATGGTGTCCTCCCATGTACTCCATTCTTGTTTAATGTTTTCCTTATTGTAGATGTGTCAACAAAAAATGTTAGCATGTGCCAGAGATTTCTGTAGGTCTTTAGCTGATACTCTGGGATTCTTCTTTACCTCATGCAGCATTCTGCGCTGTGCTCTTGCAGTCATTTTTACAGGACGACCACGCCTAGGGAGAGTAGCAACAGTGCTAAACTTTCTCCATTTGTAGACAGTCTGTCTTACCGTGGACACATGAACATCAAGGCTTTTTGAGATACTTTTGTAACCCTTTCCAGCTTCATGAAAGTCAACAATTCTTGATCGTAGGTCTTCTGAGAGCTCTTTTCTGCAAGGCATGGTTCACATCAGACAGTGCTTCTTGAAACCAGTAAACCCAAAACAGGTGTGTGTTTTTTAAGGGCAGGACAGCTGTCAGCAACACATCCAATATCATCACACTGATTGGAGTCAAGGTTGGCTCACTCCTGGCTCCAATTAGCTCTGGGAGAAGTCATTAAGCTAGGGCCTCACATACTTTTTCCTCCCTGCACTGTGAATGTTTACATGTTATGTGCAATTAAACCATGGCAACATCTAATGTTTGTGTAGTATTATGTTCAGCAGACTGTGTTCTTCTATTGTTGTGACTTAGATGACGTTCAGAGCACATTTTATGCCCAATTCATGCAAAACTCCACGTAATCCCAAGGGGTTTACATACTTTTTCTTGCAACTGTACACCTATGGCCATGTAGGTGATTGGAACACCTGAATCTAATGATTTGGAGAGGTGTTCCAATACTTTTTGGCAACATAATGTATGTGCAAGGGTATGCCTGGCAGGATATAGAATGAATGCATAGTTTATTTATAGGTATGGTAAATGTAAAGTTAATTGTATGCCCAGATTGGTAATTGTATAGTGAGCTTAACAGTTTAGAAACATCTGCTGTATGTTTCCATTAGAGGGCTGGCAGATGGCCAAGATATGTTCTCATAGAAAAACACAGTGACTGTATTCTGCCTGTGCTGGGAAATTTGAAAATTAATTTCTCCACAATGCATGTAAATACAGAGATGATTGTGGTCTTGTCTAAAAGTGCTTTTACTGCTAGTTCAGAATCTACAACTACTTTAGTGTGCTTCATCTGCGCACTTTGGAGTAGCTGTTCACCAGCTACTCCAAAAATATAAAAGAAAAAATCTTAAATGATGAGCATTGTAGTAATAGTACCTAATACTCTGATTTTTGTGTTTGTTTTTGCAGGGACATTGACTTCAATGGTACTGCTATTGGGTATGCACAATTAAGTACAATGTGTGAATCGATGTCTGTTGGAATTAGCCAGGTAAAACAGATTCGACTTTGGGGTCACTTCACTAAAACATAATATGTAGGAACTTTTTATTACTAATACATTTATTGCTATTTTTATGATGAGGCACACTTGTCTTCTACCACGACCAGACCCCTCACATTCACAGAGGAGCTTCTTCTCTACAGAAGACAGACATATGATACCTACTGATAGCATATGTTGTTAGCTTAATTCTATTGTAGATGGTTATAGGACTACATCTCTCACTCAGGCCTCTCTGTCACTCTCACTAGTGCTCCACCTTAATCATGGGGACTTTCTTATCTGGTGCCCAGGAAGCTGCATGCACCACGTACAGCCTGCCATTCAAGTGAATGGTTGTACGTGCTTAAGGTCTTGTGAAAGACAATGCATTTTGCATCAGCATTTACTCATGCACATATGTACGATGTTTGAAAAATGGATGCCATGAGCAGATAAAGAAACAATGCAAAGAGCATTGCTGTTTACCAGAGCATAGCCACATACACTTGTATGGCGAGCTATGCACAACACGTGCAGCTCCCTGGGTGCGGGAAAGCATCAGGAAATTGTGGTAGGCACATAAAATTCCTGTTAAAGCCCTGTGTGTATAAACCTTAAATTACTGTGCCTGTGAATGAATGTGTCCCTTATGTAAACCTAAAGGATCAATAAAAAAAAATGCAACATGTGTACACAGACATCCAGAATGAAAGAATACACAATGAAAGAATACACACAGGTACAAAACCTACAGATTGGCCACAGTTCCAGAACTTTGACCAATTACAAGTAAGAATGACAGAACAATTGCTTAACTGCTGACTGGTTGCGGATTCATTAATGCCAGCTGAAAAATGTCCTGCCCTACACCACCACGTAGAAAAGCTATGCCCAGCAAGAGGGATTGCGAAACAATGCTCAGCTCTACAGGATTTGTATCAAAATTTTGGATTGTTGGGAGAAATGCAATCCATTTGTAAGTGCACCTGTACCAGGACTAGTGACAATAAACTTTTTACACATTCTTTTCAAGCAGTAAATTATCTTTAAAATAAGACTTATCTCACCCATGAATCTGATTTTTATATAAATGTATTCATTCTCAGAGATTCTTAAAGATCTCAACAAAGATTCCAAGTCAGGTTTCATTTGGCTTCTTTCAATTTTGAAATACCTACTGCTTGTTTACATTGGAAGGATGGCAGACGGCCAAAATTCTGCTCTCGTAGAAAATAGCTAAAATGTCAATGCCTGAAAATTAATCTCTTTGCAATGTCCATAATTGAAAAGATGAATGAGTGCATTAACAGAATATATTAATATGTATTTGTTTGGTGAGCACAATTTGTGCTCAGGTTCACTTTAAGGTCACATTCTCTAATTCTAGAGTTGAATATAGCAAATGAAAGGCATAAAATTGATCTCTACATGAATTCCATGATTGTTTTATTTTTATCTAATCTACATTCCTTTCCAAAGACGGTTTAGAACTGATTAATGAAAATAGTACTTTTTTGGGGGCTTTCTATAGACAAAATTGAATATTTCTGTAGAACCAGACCAGAACACAAACAGTCCTCCCCTAACTATGGTCTTTAAACACACTTACATATTTGAGATTCATAACTTTTATTTATTAGTATTATACAGTATTTATATAGCGCCAACAGTTCGCTCAGCACTGTACTTTACAATGGGGGACAATACATAAGACAGTACAAGAACAATACAGTGCGATACACGAGGGGTTCGAGGGCCCTGCTCCTTGGAGCTTACAATCTAGGAGGGAGGGGATAGTGGTATGGGAGGAAAAGCTGTGGGCGATGGAGTGGTAGGCAGAGTGGAGGAGATCGTCAGTTAGCAGAGGGTGGGGTAGGCTTCCCTGAATAGGTGGGTTTTTAGGGTGTGCCTAAAGGAGAGGAGAGTGGGTGATAGTCTGATGGATTGGGGTAGGGAGTTCCAGAGGATGGGTGATGCCCTGGAGAAGTCCTGGAGGCGGGCATGGGAGGAGGAGATCAGGGAACTAGAGAATAGGAGGTCTTGTAAAGAGCGGAGAGTGCGTTTTGGGTGGTATTTGAATATTAGGTCGGTGATGTAGTTTGGGGCAGAATTATGGACAGTTTTGTACGTCAGTGTTAGCAGTTTGAATTTGATCCGTTGGGCAATCTGAAGCCAGTGGAGGGATTGGCAGAGGGGGGTGGCGGAAACAGAGCGGTTGGTAAGGTGGATGAGTCTGGCCACCGTATTCAGGACTGAAGTGAGGATAGCCTGTTGTGAGCAGGCCAGTGAGGAGGGAGTTGCAGTTATCGAGTCGTGGTATGATGAGGGAGTGGATGAGCTGCTTAGTAGTTTCTGGGGTTAGGAATGGGCGTATTTTGGCGATGTTGCAGAGGTGGAGTCTGCATGAGTTTGTTAGCGATTGGACTTGGGGCTGGAAGGATAGATTGGAGTCTAGTATGACACCAAGTACTCTGGCTTGCGGGGTGGGCTTGATGGTGGCATGGTTGGACGTGATGGAGAAGTCAGTGGGAGGGGGCGTGGGCTGGGGGGAAGACTAGGAGCTTGGTTTTGGAGAGGTTCAGTTTAAGGAAGTGGAGCGACATCCAATCTGATATGTCGTTCAGTAGGCTGGTGATTCAGGCGGACACTGAAGGGGTGAGGCGAGGGGTCGAGAGATAGATTTGCATGTCATCAGAATAGAGGTGGTAGTTGAAGCCGTGAGAGTGTATCAGTTGGCCAAGGGAGGAGGTGTAGATGGAGAAGAGAAGGGGCCCGAGGACAGAGCCTTAAGGGACCCTAAACAGAGAGGGGGAGTGGGGGGGAAGTGGTAGTGTTATAGGTAATGCTGAAGGAGCGCTGTGATAGGTAGGGTGAGAGCCAGGAGAGAGCAGAGTCTCTGAGGCCAAGGGAGTGTAGTTTCTTGAGGAGGAGGGGGTGGTTGACTTTGTCGAACGCCGCGGAGAGGTTGAGGAGTAGGAGCACTGAGTAGTGGCCATTAGCTTTGGCGGTTAGCAGGTCATTTGTGAGTTTGAGTAAGGTGGTTTCGGTGGACTGTAGGGGACGGAAGCCAGACTGTAGGGGGTCGAGGAGGTTGTTGTCATTGAGGTGGGAGCTTAGGCGAGTATAGACTAAGCGCTCAAGGAGTTTGGATGTAAATTGCAGCAGGGAGATGGGTCTAAGGTTGTTCGGGTCGGTGGGGTCCAGGGAGGGCTTTTTAAAAGTATGGGAGTAATGTGTGCGTGCTTCAGAGGGGAGGGGAATGCACCATGTAACGGAACCGGACCCCGACCACACTTGGGTATATTCCGTTATACTGCAGCTTCCCCTGTCCGAACACCATCCAAGAACCACACACCCTTGAAATCCCTCAGGAAATAAACAGCACCCAGCTCTTCTTAAAACAGGAAGCCAACTCTCTTTATTTTAACACAAAAACACAGGATATATACAGAGGGCGGGGAAACACAACCAAGAACAGGAAACACATCATCAGCCCACTCCATCAGTGGGGAGGGCTACAGTATGGGCAGGAAACACCTCATCACCCCTCCCCATCCAACCAAGACACAGAACAATGGGATAGCACATGGCAAGAACAATAGACAGCCATGTGGCCGAGACAAAGGAATAACCACATGGCAGGGACAAAGACAGCCATGTGGCCGAGACAAAGGAATAACCACATGGCAGTACAATAGGCAACCACATGGCAGGGACAAAGGACAACACACCAATACACAATACTCGGACATTCACACCCTGTACCCCTTAACAGGCACAGGGTCACTTAAACATAATGGGGAGAACATGAGCTGACACAGAGGTCCCCCTACCCCCAAAAGTCACTCCCGTCACACACCAGAAGAGAGGGAGAGATTAAAGATGTGGGTGAGGGAGCGTAGGATGGAGGAGGAGGGAGATCGTAGGAGTTGTGAGGGGACAGGGTCAAGGGGGCAGGTGGTGAGGCGGGCTTCAGAGAAGACCTTGGTGACCTCCTCAGTGGTGGTGGCTTCGAAGGAGTGGAGTGTTGAGGGGGCTACTGTGTGAGGGATGTTCGATGGGGTTAGATGGGGTGGAGGTCTGAACAGTGGTGAGGCCAAGGGGGAGGGGTGTTGAGGGGGTTGCTGTGTGAGAGGAGGTAGGTGGGGTGGAGGTCTGAGCAGCAGCGATGTCCCTGTGAATAGTGTCAATCTTATTTTTGAAGTGATTGGCAATCTTGAGGGCGGTGAGTGAGGTACTGGGTGGAGGTGGGGGCGGATAGAGTAGAGAGTTGAAAGTGGAGAAGAGCCGGCGAGGATTGGAGGAGAGGGTATTGATGAGGGTCAGAAAGTAGGCTTGTTTGGCAGCGTAGCGGGAGGAGGTGTAGGTGTGGAAGGCAGATTTGTAGCGGGTGAACGCTAGTTGGGACCTGATTTTGCGCCATAGTCGCTTCAGCGCACGACTGCGTCATTTGAGAGTTTTGGTATGATCAGTCTGCCAGGGCTGGAGCGGGCAGGGTCTGATGCTTCATGTGGTTAAAGGCGTAAGCGAGTCTAGAGCTGATGACAGCGAGTTGTTATAGGCAGTCGTGGCAAGGTCAGGGCAGGACAGAAGAAGGATACTGTCGTAAAGTTGATCAGCTGTGGAGTGGAAGGGGGCAGGGTTCAGGTTGCGGAGGTTCCGGCTGGTAATAGTTTGACATTACCACTAAAATGTACAGTTTTGTAAAGCATATTGTGTTTTCATTGATATTCCGAAGCCAGAGATTATAGGTTGATGACTGTTATCACATAATTTCTGATTACTGCAGTTAAAATTAGGTTGTGCATTGAATTTCAATATCATATAATATGCGTTTGCATTTGTCCCACGACATCTTATGGTTTCTACCTATTTATCCTTTCCTAGGATGTCTTCATGGCTGCAGCTGGTGTTGGAGCAATAATTGCTCATGAGATGGGGCATAATCTGGGAATGAGTCATGACAAACCCACCTGCACATGTGGAGCCAATAAGTGCATCATGTATCCAAGTGTCAGGTACATAATGTCATTGTCTACATGGAAATCATATGTTCCACTCATGTGTATGTCTCCCCTTCGACAGTTTGAGAACATACTAGAAGGATAAGCTGGCTTGCTGTACAAATCTGCCATTACTGACCTTACTGTATTTCTGTCCCTCTAGTCCTGAGATTTATACAGTTCTTCCCCACATCACATGGCTGTCAGGCAGGGGCAGGAGGCCTGTTTTTTTTGCTATGGTTAAGTAACACTTACCATTCTTGTTCTTGTAAATAAGTAGTTACTGATGGCCAACCATGACTTCTAGATTATATAAAATATTTATACCTCTTGTTTATATGATTTAGGCCAGCGGTTCTCAACCTGGGGGTCGTGACCCCTTTGGGGGTCGAACAACACTTTCACAGGGGTCGCCTAAGACCATCGGAAAACACATATTTCCGATGGCCTTAGGAACCGAGACACTGCTCCTCTATCCGTCTGCAGGTGTGGGCGGGATGACATGCCGTCCCTGTCATCTGGACACACCCCCGGGATCAATCCTTCGCCGGTGATTGGCCGCCGGAACTGTAGCTCAGGAGAGGCACACAGGCGGCCAATCACCGGTGAGGAGGTGGAGCTTGGAGAGGAGGAGCCGAGCGGCACCGCGAAGATCGAGCGAGTAAAGAGGAGGAGAGCGGCCGGAGAAGGAAGACATCTGACCGGTAAGTGTCTGTACCATGGGAGAGGGAGGGAGCAAGCGAGCCTAGGCTGGAGCAGGGGTCAGCAAGGTAAGTATCATTGGTGTCACTGGGAGGAATAGTGCCCCATCACTGGTGTCACTAATACCAATGATGGGGCACTATTCCTCCCCCCACTGACACCAACGATGGGGCACTATTCATCCCCCCACTGACACCAACAATGGGGTACTATTCCTCCCCCCACTGACACCAACGATGGGGCACTATTCCTCCCCCCACTGACACCAACGATGGGGCACTATTCCCCCCCACTGACACCAACGATGGGGCACTATTCCTCCCCCTACTGACACCAACGATGGGGCACTATTCCTCCCCCTACTGACACCAACGATGGGGCACTATTCCTCCCCCTGACACCAATGATGGGGGCACTTTTCCTCCCACTGACACCAATGATGGGGGCACTTTTCCTCCCACTGACACCAATGATGGGGGCACTTTTCCTCCCACTGACATCAGTGATGGGGGCACTATTCCTCCCACTGACACCAGTGATGGGGCACTATTCCTCCCACTGACACCAGTGATGGGGCACTATTCCTCCCACTGACACCAGTGATGGGGCACTATTCCTCCCACTGACACCAGTGATGGGGCACTATTCCTCCCACTGACACCAATGATGGGGCACTATTCCCCCCACTGACACCAATGATGGGGCACTATTCCCCCCACTGACACCAATGATGGGGCACTATTACTACCACTGACACCAATGATGGGGCACTATTCCCCCCACTGACATCTATGATGGGGCACTATTCCTCCCACTGACACCAATGATGGGGCACTATTCCCCCCACTGACACCAATGATGGGGCACTATTCCTCCCACTGACACCAATGATGGGGCACTATTCCTCCCACTGACACCAATGATGGGGCACTATTCCTCCCACTGACACCAATGATGGGGCACTATTCCTCCCACTGACACCAATGATGGGGCACTATTCCTCCCACTGACACCAATGATGGGGCACTATTCCTCCCACTGACACCTATGATGGGGCACTATTCCTCCCACTGACACCTATGATGGGGCACTATTCCTCCCACTGACACCAATGATGGGGCACTATTCCTACCACTGACACCAATGATGGGGCACTATTCCTACCACTGATACCAATGATGGGGTACTATTCCTCCCATTGACATCAGTGATGGGACACTATTCCTCCCACTGCAAAATTACAGTTATGAAGTAGCAACGAAAATAATTTTATGGTTGGGGGTCACCACAACATGAGGAACTGTATTAAGGGGTCGCGGCATTAGAAAGGTTGAGAACCACTGATTTAGGCACTTAGGATTTCAACAGTCATGCATATATTGGTTAGAAATTAAAAGGTTAGACAATCAAAAGTAGACTTTTAACTGTTTGATGAGCTTAACATATCTGTTTCTCTTCTGTGCTATGTATCCTTGTGATACGGTAGATTTTTATTCTCACTGTCTCTATTTTAAATTATTATTAGCTCTGACGTTCCACTCAAGTTCAGCGACTGCAGCATAGGTGACCTCAGGAACTTTATCTATGATAGTTACCCGGATTGCCTGCTGAATGTTCCAATCTCATCACAGATCTTGTCTCCAGCCGTTTGTAGTAATAAATTCACTGAAAGTGGAGAGCAGTGTGACTGTGGGGAGCCACAGGTAACTAAAAGAATTATATCAGTATATCTTCACTGAACAGGGAGTGTGTTGGAGAGACACAGCAAGTTATCCCAGCATTCTTGCTCAGTGCATTAAACTTTGAGCAAAGGCGGCCAAAGACATGGTTTTGATAGATTAGAAAATTAGACAATAATCATATTTCAAAGTTCGAGAGGGTAATAAAAAAGATCCAGAAACCATGTCTGATAGCTAATCGTTCCCCTTCCCTCAGGTAAGGTGATACTGCAACTGTCTACCAGCGTCTTCCTTTTTTGTTGAACATACTTAGGCAAAACAGATCTAAAATGACTAAATGATGAGCAAATTGTGCTTTCTCAATCAACTAACACAACACTTTCCTGCAAAATTTATCGGCATTTGATACATCATGGTGTGTTGAATGTCTGCATCCCTTTTAACACTTGGTGGTTTCTCCCACTGACCCCTAAGTTATTATGGTGTAATGTAATAATGATGGAGCCATAAAGGGGGACATGAGCATTCAGCACTCCCAGAAATGTTTAGTGCTGAGTCCTTTGATGGAGGCTCGAACGCTGTTGGCATTGCTAGCACTCCTTCTGCTAGTTACCTGACTTAATCTGGTTTCCATACTTCTGAATCAATAGCCTTGAACAAGTATAGAGAGTTAAAAGAAAAGTATGTCTAAAGCTTTTTTGTCCATACTTTTCTTGTGGGTTACAGAAGTGCACTTCTTTTTGCTCTCCTGTGACCCAAGGTCGACTTTATAGCGGGCCATTGCCCACTGTCCACTGACATGGCAGAGCCACTCCAGGCTCTGGAAGGATCAGCTCAGCATGTGGCTGTGAGCCAAAGCCAGCTGCATTCACCCCCTCTTCAGCCTAGCACTCCAGTGAGCGCTCTAAACAGACTGAGAACTGAGCAATCAGCATATGATTGGTCAGTTCTCGGGCTTAGAGCCAACATGGAAGAGCTGCAGCATCACACCCATATTGTAGCATAGAGGTCAGTATGTGTGTTTATTTTTTTATGAATCCTATACATGTTCTTGTAGGGAAAGCTGAACTCCAGGTATGGTTTTTATTTCATAGTTACATTAGTCCAACTGGGATAATTGCAAGTATACTGTACATATTCCATACCCATGGGACCCCTGGGCAAGCAAAGAATCACTGTAGTAGTTGTCACTACTACAGAGTGATAACCACAGTTTTTCATGCCGTGCCAAGCGGCTGCCTGTCTGCATAGTAAACACAGAAGGTCACTCGCTTGGCACAGCCACCATTCACAGAATACTTTGTATTATTTTCAATGAATACAAGGTATTCTTTGGTTGGACAAGGTGAAGATCGTGACTTTACCACCTTGCATCTCCACTTCATCCAATCAGAGAATGCCTTATAAAACACCATGCTATAAAAAAAAAACATACCTGGAGTTCAACTATAAGAAATTCTGATTTTCCCCTGACTTTCATTTGCTATTTACTTGTTCTGGGTTAGTGACTGACAACCTAAGCTTGGGCATAGATCTGCAAAACTGAAAAAGACTTTCTATTTATTAACTATTGAATATTATGGTAAGAAGAGAAAATTGTTAATGCATGTGGCCACAGAAGAGCCAATAGCAGAAGAGAGGCAGGAGTACAGAAAAAGCATCACTGAAATCTCTATTGTAGCCATTTATTGTTATAATGGTTATTTTGCATACCTCTATCAAAATTTCTGGGAAATGTTAGCTTTAACGCTTGGAAGATGCAAGGATCACCTTGACTAACAGGGTGAAAAGCTGAATATTAAGCGTCAGAATATAAATTGACAATGGGGACATACTGTACAGTTTAACAGCACTGTATGTACTTTTGTTTAGTTATATGCTCAGTTGATATATTTTTCTTGAAGGAATGTACAGATACGTGCTGTGATCCATACACCTGCAAATTAAAGCCAGGATATGAGTGTAGTGAAGGAGCATGTTGTCACAAATGTAAGGTAAGTGCGTAGCTTTGCTGCAAAATAAGATATTTTCATTTTATCATTCAAGTAATTCATACTCTGTTGACATGCCTGGCTAACAGGCATATACAAATGTCATAGCCACTTTATTTAATTGTATTCTAATTAGCTTTACCCATTGTTGCTTGAACATGCATGCAGTTACATATGATAAATCTCAGATTAATATTCTTTCACAATTTTAGTAAATCCTGCTCCAGTAGAGGGGCAGACTGCTGCAAAAAGTCCCACCACTAGAAGTTCCTACCCAAGTAAAATCCAAATCCAAGGGAGGGACAGACAGTTGCAGAAAATTTCACCATTAGTAGTTCCTATCTATGGGTTTGTTTACATATACTGTATGTTTGGATTGTGTTAAAAAACAGGCAGTTGAGCCCTGTTTTAACTACCCCCCCCCCTTAAGCTGCAAAGACACCTGGATAGGGATGTACACATGTTGCAGCTATGGTGCTTTGAAAATGTCACGTTTGGCAGGCGGCACCACCACCACAATTCTCACCATTGCATGTTTTTACCCAAGGAAAATTCAGCTGCCATGGAGGGGTATGAAGTCTCACCATTAGTTCTCACCCAGGAGAAATCCAGCTGCAATAGGGGGATACATAGCTGCAGGAAATATCACCATTAGTTTACATCAAAAACCAAAATATTAGTTATGACAGGAATTTCCCATGTCCATTTGCGACTTTCTGTTTCCCTGGTTTTCACTTCCCACATTATACTTTTATGGTTACATACTAGCCTGTAATTACTTGGAACTGTGGGTTGTGGTACAAATAATGAGGGTTGTGGAACAGATCAGAAGCAGGACTGTGGATTGTGGATATACAGTAAGTTTGGTGTAAGGCTTTGGATATAGGTCAGGTGCAGGGCTGTCGATTGCAAGTATAGGTAATGTGCAGGGCTGGGGGTTATGGGTGTAAATTAAGTGCAGAACTCTGAGTTGAGGTTATAGGCCATGTGTAGGCCTCTAGGTTGTGGGTATAGGTAAGGTGCAGAGTTGTGGATTGTGGGTGTAGATCAGGTGCAGGGCTATGAATTCTGTGGGTGTAAGTCAGGGGCAGAGCTCTGGGTTGTGAGTATAGGTCAGGTAGAATGAATTGAATGATAATTAAAACTATGACACTATTGAGTCCCCAGGGAAAGAGGTCATAAGGGGTGATGGCTGCTGCTCCCCTGGCTTAGGTCTTAAGATAGTCTAATGCACATGTATTAGAAAAGAGGAAGAGGGGGCACACTATCTGAGTGTAACCTGTGATAACACTTACAACAAAAAGTAAATGATGTACTCACTTTGTATGGAGAAACCTCAGCGTGTAGAGGTGGTCATTGTAAGGTTGTAGAGATTGGAGCCAAGTGGCTGGTGGATGCAGAGGTTGGCAGGCAAGTGGCTGGTATATACAGAGTTCGGCTCGGGAGGTAGCTGGATGGTGAATTAGAAGGAACTGCTGCTGTGCTTGGAGGTGGAACTGTAATGCTGTGCTGGCAGCTTCCTGGTGTCCTCAGCAGCGGTGCACTCAGGGTGTTGGGGATGGCGTCACTACATTCAAAGGGCCGTGGTTACGCTTTTTTGAGGCTCCGTCCTTTTGTCAAACCAAACAAGGTTGTGGGTATAGGTGAGGTGCAGGGCTGTGGGATGTGGTTATGGGTCAGGTGCAGGGCTGTAGGTATAGGTCAGGTTCAGGGATGTGGTTTGTGAGTATAAATCATGTACAGTGCTGTGGGTCCCAGGTATGGGTCAAGTGCAGGGCTGTGGGTTGCAGATATAGGTCAGGTGAAGGGCTCTGGGTTGCATATATAGGTTAGGTGCAGGGCTGTGGGGGTGTGGTTATGGGTCAGGTGCAGGGCTGTAGGTATAGGTCAGGTTCAGGGATGTGGTTTGTGAGTATAAATCATGTACAGTGCTGTGGGTCCCAGGTATGGGTCAAGTGCAGGGCTGTGGGTTGCAGATATAGGTCAGGTGAAGGGCTCTGGGTTGCATATATAGGTTAGGTGCAGGGCTGTGGGTATAAGTCAGGTGTAGGACTGTGGGTATAAATCAGATGCAGGGCTGGGGGTTGCAGGTATAGGTCAGGTGCAGGACTGTGGGTGTAAGTCAAATGCAGGGCTGTGGGTGTAAGTCAAATGCAGGGCTGTGGGTGTAAGTCAAATGCAGGGCTGTGGGTGTAAGTCAAATGCAGGGCTGTGGGTTGCAGGTATAGGTCAGGTGCAGAGCTGTGGGTATAAGTCAGGTGCAGGGCTGGAGGTTGCAGGTATAGATAAGGTGCAGGGTTGTGGGTATAGGTCAGGTGCAGTGCTGTGGGTTGCAGGCATAGGTCAGGTGCAAGGTTGTGGGTATAGGTCAGGTGCAAGGTTGTGGGTATAGGTCAGGTGCAAGGCTGTAGGTATAGGTCAGGTAAGGTGCAGGGTTGTGGGTATAGGTCAGGTGCAAGGCTGTAGGTATAGGTCAGGTAAGGTGCAGGGTTATGGGTATAGGTCAGGTGCAGTGCTGTGAGTTGCAGGCATAGGTCAGGTGCAGGGCTGTGGGTATAGGTCAGGTGCAGGGCTGTGGGTATAGGTCAGGTGCAGGGCTGTGGGTTGCAAATACTGTATAGGTCAGGTGCAGGGCTGTGGGTATAACTCAAGTACAGGACTGTAGGTTGCAGGTATAGGTCAGTTGCAGGGCTGGGGGTTGCAGGTATAGGTCAGGTACAGGGCTGGGGTTGCAGATATGGGTCAGGAGCAGGGCTGGGGGTTGCAGGTATAGGTCAGGGTACAGGGCTGGGGGTCGCATATATGGGTCAGGTGCAGGGCTGAGGGTTGCAGGTATAGGTCAGGTGTAGGGCTGTAGATATAATTCAGGTGCAGGGCTGTGGATTGCGGGTATAGGTAGGTGCAGGGCTGTGGGTTGCAGGCATATGTCAGGTGCAGGGTTTTGGGTACAGGTCAGATGCAGGGCTGTGGGTTGCAAGTACAGGTTAGGTGCAGGGTTGTGAGTTGCAGGTTTTGGCCAGGTGCAGGGTTGTGGGTTGCAGGCATAGGTCAGGTGCAGGGTTTTGGGTACAGGTCAGATGCAGGGCTGTGGGTTGCAAGTACAGGTTAGGTGCAGGGTTGTGAGTTGCAGGTTTTGGCCAGGTGCAGGGTTGTGGGTTGCAGGCATAGGTCAGGTGCAGGGTTTTGGGTACAGGTCAGATGCAGGGCTGTGGGTTGCAAGTACAGGTTAGGTGCAGGGTTGTGAGTTGCAGGTTTTGGCCAGGTGCAGGGTTGTGGGTTGCAGGCATAGGTCAGGTGCAGGGTTGTGGGTACAGGTCAGATGCAGAGCTGTGGGTTCCAGGTACAGGTTAGGTGCTTGGTTGTGAGTTGCAGGTTTTGGCCAGGTGCAGGGCTGTGGGTTGCAGGCATAGGTCAGGTGCAGGGCTGTGGGTATAATTCAAGTGTAGGGCTGTGAGTTGCTGTTATAGGTCAGGTACAGATCTCTTCTGCATATCCCAAAATATATAACCTTTTATTTAGACTCAAACTATAGGCTGATATATCTGAACACATATTGCCTGCAATGTGCACTTAGCTGTTCATAAATTAAGCATTTACAATCTCCACAGCTGTTTTTATTATAAAGAGATTACAGACAGGCAGCCCTTTTACCTCATACAATACTATAGTGCTCACATTTGGCAGGAAGAAACAAATGCCTCTTTAAACTACATAACATCTGCATGGAATGCAAGGGCAGTCATTCTGACCCCTAATGCAAGCAGTATGAAATTTCTGATATCAATAACTATGCTGCTTAATACCGCAGGGTGTATGTGCCTAGTAGAAACATTTATCTCACTTTAAATTCTTCTGGTCTGTATCTGATGCTCTTAACCAATAGATTTCTTAAAAGTCTTGAGATGATTGTTTGTACTAGGTGTTCCTATCCACACATGCAGAAGCCTTTCATCTGTGAAGCGATCTGACTGTCATGATCAAAGAGGTAGCTGCCTAGAACAGAAATGGGTCCATAAAAACTGTCAGGAAATGCTGAGTTATTACGTTAGTTTTAATCGATCGCATCACAGTGCCTCCAATACAATAGTTTAATAGGCAAACAGTGACAACATGTTTTGCTTTGAAACCGGATGTGATGTAACATTCTTTTGCCTCTGCTGTGCGATGAGACACCTAGCTAACAAATGAGAAGCCTCACTTTCGTCAGTCACTGCGTGCACTGCTAGTTATAGAGAGCTGTTTCAGAGCTTACAGAGCTGTTTCAGAGCTTACTGAGCTTCAAAGAGGGCAAATTGTTGGTGCCTGCTTAGCTGGTGCCTTGGTGACTAAAATTGCCAATTTTTTTCCCGCTTCACGAGGTACTGTATGAAAAGTTATGACGACATATGCAGCTTCCAGGAAAATGTTATCTGATAAGCATAAGCATGGTCAACTGACCAAATATACAAAATGACATTGTGCAGGATTGTAACCCGGAAAAAGAAAACAACTTCTGTAAATGTGACTGCTCAATCTCAGTCCCTGAAGACTGAGATTGAGCTTCCCACCTGTTAGCACCTGTTTGCGGAAGCTTCTGTTTTCAACTCAAAACTTTCATACCTGCTAATCATGTAGTGTTCCATTTTTTCATTTAACCCCTGTGTATACCAATGAGACAATGATTTTACCCTTCTGTATATATCCTAACTGATTAAGTAAAATTTAGCAGATAATGATCTGCATTGGACTAACTTGACCCATGAACCCGCTGTAGTTGAATCACCGAATGAAGTTCGTCTATAGTTATGCCAATAAGGCAAATTAAAATGACCAGATTTACAGGTGTTAGGATATTGGGTGGGGTAGCAAATCAACTAGCATAATTACTTGCATACAAACAAAATCAATAAATAAAGATGGAATATATAGTTACCCTTTTAAAATGGCTATTTGCTTTAAAATGGTCACCGCCAGATGGCTGTCAAATACTGGTTGTAGTTTACCTTTCTCAAGAGGTGTCTAGCTATGTTGGAGAT